CTAGTCCTAGTTGTACAATGTATGTGTGTTAGTCAACCTGTCAGTCTAGATATATCTGATGCACAAAATATTTGTGTATCTGATAGCTTGTCAGTTTATGTATGTGTCTATTATTCTACTTGCAAATCCATGTGTGTAACTGTAGCCATCTTGTTAATCCACATATGTAACTGTAGCCAACATGCCAATCCACATGTATCACTGTAGTCAACTTGCCAATCCACATGTATCACTGTAGTCAACTTGCCGATCCACATGTATCACTGTAGTCAACTTGCCAATCCACTTGTGGATTGGCAAGTTGACTACAGTGATACATGTGGATTGGCAAGTTGACTACAGTGATACACTACAGTGATACATGTGGATTGGCAAGTTGACTACAGTGATACATTGTGGATTGGCAAGTTGTGTGTTACTGTAGCCAACTTGCCAATCCACAAGTATCACTGTAGTCAACTTGCTAATCCACATATGTATTTGTTTGTTTGTTATTCAGTCTAATTTATTTCTGTTAGCCAACTTTTTGGTCTAGTTCAGTTTGTCAGTCCATCTAAATGCCTATTCACCAACCAGCCAGTCTTATCATATTAAATGGTGTTAGCTCTTCAGCCAATTTAGTTTAATGTCTGTAAGTCAATCTTTAAGTCTATTTGTATGTGTATTTTGTGCTACTCAATGTGAAAATCTAATTGTAAATTTTTTAGCTCACTTGTCAGGCCAATTGAAATTCTGTTAGCCAACTTTTCTGTTGAGTTAATGTGTTTGTGTTAGTCAATCTGTTAGTTGAGTTGTATGCCTATCTCAGCCTAATTATTAGATCAGATGGCAAGTTTTTAGCCATCTTCTCAGTTGAGATGTGTATATGTTTATCAACTGTATTAGATACAGTTTGTTGGTTCTGTTTATACTTCCACATGTGACAGATAAGTTTATTTGTTGTATCTTGCTAACATACTTGCCAGTCCTGTGGATGATTTTTCAGTCAGCTTTACTGTTGAATTGTATCTTAATCTGTTGCATCAATCTTGGCCAACCTGCCAGTCTAAGTTTGCCTCTTTTTATCTAGAAGTTGATGGCAATTGGATCCACCTTTCAAGCATTTTTTTCTTTTTTTGTTGCTGATCTTAAAACGTTTTGATAGTGTGAAATAAATACTGAGTTTGTCATTAAGTTATTATATATTGTGAATTGAATTTTTCTTATTCCATATGAGCAATATATTTGATAGTTCACATATAACCACAAATATATATTTGTCTTTTAAACACATTTATGCAAGGCACAGTATAATTGCATGTTGTTACTTAGTCATACTTCTGAGACAGCCGAGATGCTTGACTGATATCAAACTCAAAATGTTAAAGGGGTATTTGGCAATAAGACTAGATAATAATATATGCAGTCATATGTTACTAGATGAAATACTAGTACTTCATTTCTTTACACCCTCATAGGTGGAGCAACCAGGGGAGGAAGGAGGCATTAGCCTTCCTAGGTGTATGCCTTGTAAAAGCAGGTTAATAGCTGTTAAAATAATTTAAAGACATTTCTTCATGTATATTTTAAGAATTGCTTCATTTGAAGTCTGTAAATGCCACATTTTCTGGGGTCATGCATCTCTAAACCCCACAAAATTATCACTTTCAGGTCTTATATGTACTTGAGCCTTCCCATGTAACTTTTTTTTTCTTACACTTATATAGAGCTTGATGCCAGTTTGATATTATCCTGGCATCCTGACACTATTAGAGATGTCTTTACATTTTAACATTTGTGTTGTACATGGTAATACTTTGTAATATATTGAGTTGTGGTGCTTACACTTCTATATTCATATCAGTTGTGTATTTCTAATGGTAAAATATTTCATTTCCATGCACAGGGAGTAGCTTTTAAAAAATGTAGTGTAATTTAAGTAATTAAAAATAAGTTTGTTTTGTGTACATGTATGTTTCATTTATGAGCAATCTCGTTGAAATGTAAATATAGTTATTCTAGTTTTGTAGTAAGTGCTACAGTTTATTTCCCCCATTTTACAAAGTTTGGTAAAAAACAATGGCATATGTTTCTGTAATTCTCCACTTTTATAAATGCATCACTTTTCCCATCTGTTTAATTTTCATCTAACCAAATTATGATGTGTGAAAGTGGATTAATCTTCTAAACAAAAATAGATATCTTGTCTGTTTTCAATATTGATTTTGTAATTAATGGGTTCGAAAAAGTTAAACATATTTGATAACAGATTATTTTCTTTGCACTATTGTTAGGAAAAACATAATTTTCAGTTATTTTAACAGCTCAGGTTTTCCCTCTATTAATTAATGCTGTATTGCAGGGGTTCCCAAACTTTGGCAACTGGCAGAACCCCTTCAACTTCTTTACTGTATTGGTGGACCTGGTGTATCATATGCGTATCTTACTACCTTTAATTTGGGATTTATATACATATTACTATATTAGTTTTATAATGTCATAGCATTTTATTTTACTTGTTACTCTGTCAGTAAATGGTAATTTCATAAATTTGATGTATTACTGTGGACCCCCGTAAGTACTATCACAAATTCTCAGGGGACTGCGGACCACAGTTTGGGAACCTTTGCTGTATTGTAATGTGATCTCAAAGTTACTTATGAACAGTGATTTATATATAACTCATGAGGTGTTCCTCCTTTAGTATCT